ATAGTTATTACTAAGGCTAATAATATCCTTCTTAGATATCTTATTATTTCTTATAATAAATCTTCTTTATATAATTTATTTTATAATAATAATAATATTTAAGTTTATAGTAATCTTACTTATTTTATTAAATAGCTCTAAGTTCTATAGGTCTTAGGTAAATATTATATATTATATTATTTTATTATTTCTTATTTTAATTAATATTAAAATATAAGATATTAGCCTTATTATTATTAAACCTAGAGTTTTATAGTTTTTTCTATAAGAATTATTAATTATTAATTTTTATAGCCTTATTAATATAATTAATAAGGTTATTAAATTAATCTTTTTTATATAATTTTATTTATATTTTTTCTTATGTTTATTAAAGAAAAGGGTTATTAGGGGTTTTTAATCCTATTTAAGCTTTAAGGCGAGTTAGAGGTATTTTATTTTATACTTTAAAGTTAATTAAGTTTATCTAAGGGTTTTAATTTCTTTCTTAGCTTATTTTTTCTTATTAATTTTTTGAAAGCTTATTAAAATATAGCTTTAAAGGTATTAAAATCTAAATAAAGATTAATAATTTATAATAAGAGTTTAATAAATAAAGTAATAAGATATTCTTTTATAATAAGTTTAAATTAGGCTATAATATACTTAATAAGTTATCTTATAATATATTAGACTTTATTAAATATTAGGTTAAATTATATTAAATAATAAGTTATAAAAGTATATAATATATATAATAAGTATATATACTAAATAAGTATATATATTAAAAATCCCTTAATTATTACTAATACTATTTAATTAATTTATTATTAACTAAAAATTATACCTTAACTTTATTCTAAATATTAAATCTTTCTTATGCTTTAAGCGCTCTAAAATAACCTAAATTTAAGTCTCTAAGGCGCTATTAGGCTATATTAAGTTAATTATTAGGCCTTATATCGCCGGCATAATAGTATTTAATCTCGATGCGATTAAATTCCTAAATTATATAAATTATTTAATCTAGAGGAATAGATTATTATTTAGTTTATTTTTAACTTAGATTCGCGAGGATTTCCCCCGCGATTATATAATATTAAAGAAATAGCTAATTAATTACTCGCTGACTATGATGCGCTATCTATTAGTAAGCGCTAGGCTTTTAATTTTATTAAGTAATACTTAGACCTTAAGATATATTTTTTTTAGAAGTATAATTACTAGAGAGCTAAGTATAAAGATCTAGCTATTATTTATAACTAATTTATAGTTATAGTAAATATAATCGCGAAGTATAATATCTAATTAGAAAATATCTATAACTTTAATAAGATTAGCTTTATAATAAGTATAATTTAAAGTAAAATAATTATTATAGGTATAGATAGGTATAGAAAGCTAAAATTAATATAGCTTAGAAACTAGGAATAAATTATAATTATTTAAGTAATTAATATAAAAGGCTAGGCGATCTCGTTATTTATTATTAGCGCGAGCTAATATTACCTCGCTAATTAGTATTAAGAAAATAATCTCCTAGGCGATTAAGCTATTATAATAACCTAAAATAGCTAAACTAATAATAAGATTAATATAGAGTAGCTTAAATACTTTAATTAATATATAATTAATTAATTAATTAATTCTTATTATTTCTTAATCCTTAATAACTATAAAAGTTATTATTTTATTAATTTTAAGAGATATTACTAGGATAATAATATTATTATACTTTATATACCGCCTTATTTATCTTATTTATTTTAGTCCCTTAATATTAAATACTTTAATATACTTAAGAATACTTATAATCGAGAAATTAAGTATCTAATTAGATATTTTATAACCTATATTTTAAAGACTAAGTTTTTTCTAGCCTTTTATGCTATATTTTAGGCTATTATAATAAAAAGAAATATTAGATTAGCCTTTAGAGGAGCTAGGCTTATTTCTCTTAATGCGGAAAGTATAGTCTCGAAGCTTAATATATAGCTATAGACTTTAATGCCGCCTAAGGAGGTAGCTAAACCCTTAACCCCTTAGGTCTTAAAGACCCTAAAGACTCTACTTAAGGCTTAATCTTAGTTAGATTACCTTAAGAGACGAGTTATAATATATAAAAATAGCTCCCTAGAGTTAATTCTAGAAGCTATATAGTTTTCTTCTAAGGGAATAAAAATAGTTATATATAAGGTTGCCTTATTAAAGGCAAGGGTTAAAGACCTTAAATAAGCGAATAAGATATTAAGCCGGCACTAGAGGGCAAAAAGGACTAGACTATAGAAAAGAGAGGTTATAATAATAGAGGAAAGAAGGCAAGTAATTAATTAAATAGATATTAATGCATAGGTAGTAGCCAAATCGTTGAGAAGTAGTGGTTAAGGAAGGTTAGCGCGACTAGGGGTTCGGTATTATAATATCTGCGGTAAGCCTGGTTATAATATAAGGACTTATTAGGTAGTTATTAAGATATCTAGGGAAAAGTATAATAAGTAATTTTAATTAATTAAATAGTTTATGATATTTTTATTGCGGCTTTTATCTTATAGGTATAGGAAAAGTGGTATATATACTTATTTAGTGTATATGCTTATTATATATGTTAATTATATAAGGAAAATAAGTAATTTATAAGTAATTTTATTAAATTTCTCTAGGGGGTCTAGCTTTAGGATTTCTCTTATACCTTTACCTTTTATAATAGTAATTATTATATTATTAATATTTTAGATATTATCTTTATATTATATATTATATATTTATTATATTTTATTTATCCTTTTAATAAGTTTATATAATTTATCTATCTTAGTACTTATAGTAATAATCTAGGCTTAGAGCTATTTAATTTTTTTATTATTAGAGTTATTAGTATTATTTATATTTTTATCTTAATTAGCTAAAATAGATATAATACATATAAATAAATAATTAATAAGTAAGACTTATTAATAATTATGAATAAGAATAGTATAAGTAATTATTATATTTAATATTATTTAAGGTAATATAAGTAATTTATTAAATAAGAGCTATTAATCTCCTTTGTCTGATTCGTGGCTTTTTTCTTTTTCTGTTCCCTTTATTTGACCTCCCGGAAGCCTTCAATTCCTCCATGAATAGGAATTAGCGGCTTCACGCGGGGCTTCACGCGACAATAAACTATAATCTCCACTCGTCCGTCGCCGACGTCATGGCTAACCCTTAGTCCTATCTAGGCTGTCTTTGACTCGCTTAATCTTATGGAACTCAGCGATCTGCCTTCGTCGTTACAAACTGAGCGTCGTCAACGTGCACCCTTGTACCTTTGAGGTAGACTCGGATTATGTTGAGTCAATCGCTGTTATTATTCTTGCTCCAGCCACTACGGGCCTACCTTGTCAATACGAGCTGCTTGAAACAACTAGCGTGTTAGCCGGGGCGGCCATCAGGGGATGAGATCCTTGCGCCACGGTCCCTCAGCGTCTCTCACTCCTCAATATATGCGCTTCAGTAAGGGCTCTGACTCATCCATCTACTCGAACCAAATTGAGTACTCAGCTGGAAAACATGACCTCCCCAGTGACGGAGATTCTCAGGCCCCGCCTACAGCCTCAGCCGGCAAATACCTCGTCAAGCGCAAGAGGAACTCGGTGAGTGGCTCACTCATGGGAAGGATACACTCATGGGAAGGATAACTTGGACACTGACTGGGTCTACCTGTAATTCTGCAGCGAGCGTGTGATCGCTGTTCTTGTCCTACTGCAACATTGAAGCTGACAACCGCTGACCGTCCCCGTATCGCTAGCCAATCTATCAACTTTGATCAGGCACTTCCCCTAAGCGAAATATCCTTCATCTTGCCCGTAAAGCCCCCCCCAATCCTTTTCAGAGGCGCTTCAATAGCGATTGGCCTCCAGATTGTCATGACGCCGTTGCTACCTGGCACGCCGTTCGGTTGGAGCTTCGTCAAGAACTCCATCGTCATTTCGCCATCTTCTCCGGAAACTGTCAGAAAGGTTGACTCCCCAAGGCCGGAAAGCACAACATGAGTCCAAGTATCGACGGGCAACGTGTAGTTGAGAGAGTAGGCTTGATTGCCACTAAGAAGAGTGACATTGGTGGTAGTGCCGTAACCAGCCCAGAGCGCCGAGTCAGACCCTGAAAAGAGAGCTCCTGGCTTTTGAGACTGTGGATAGACCCAGAAAGATAGAGAGTAGTTTCGACCCTTGCTGCTGAGTGGCGTCTCCAGGTAGCTCCCCGGTGAGCATGAAAGAACAGAGTGGCGAACGTTGCAGCCATGATTGACAGCGTCATACCCGTTGCCAGAAGAATCTCGTATCATTCTGGGCCTTTCAGTACCCTTTGCACTGTAGTCAAGCGTACTCTGGAGGCGGTAGTCTAAAATAAGCTGGGTCTTGGACTTGATCCGCCTGTCAAGGTTTTGACCTGGGGCGACTGCGATGAGCTTCTCAACTATTGAGTTGTATGCTTCCTCGGATAGACCGCCGCCCCAGGTCTTGTCAGCCAAGGCCGGGAGCCCATCCCGCCACGTATAGTACGCCTCAAGGTACGTTGATGCCGAAGGGCCATAATCGCTCCACTGTGCTGCAATGTGTCCCATGACTTTGGGATTGTCGCGAGAAGGGTTGTTGGTTGCGTTGGTGACGTCAAAGACGTTGGGACTAAAGGCTCCGCCGGCAGGATTTCCGCTGAAAATGATGGTCTTGTTGAGGGATTGACCAAAGTAACCATGCCATTTCGTGTTGACGTAGAGAGAAAAGTCCGAGTTGACGACACTGTACCCTTCTTTGATGAAGTTGAAATAGGCATTGTCTTCATAGGGTGCCCAATGCTGTATGATGATGTCTTTGGAGTACTCTCCTCCTTTATTGGGTGGAAAGGTTCCCCAAATTCGCGTCTTCTTACCTGATTTCGAAACGAGATCGGACAGCTCGTTGACTAGATGGCTATACTCTGATACCAGGCTTTTGTTGTATTCATCGGCTCCGATGTGTACCGTCTTTGAATGAAACCATGGCAGAAAAGTCTTCCAAATAGCCTTGAGAGCTGGGACAGTGTCAGGATGCGAGATGTTGAGCATGGAAGGGTCCCCTTTGATTGCCGTTTGGGGCTTCCACTTGGAAATTGCCAATGCGTGCGCAGGAGCCTCAAGCTCTGGGACAATGGTGACGCCTCTGCTGGCGCATTTGCGCTGTATCTCTTCGAATTGGGCCCTGGTGTACGACTCGGGAAGAGACGCCAAGCCAGCAAGGGCAGGATTTGGCGAATTCAGTCGAAAGCTTGAGTACAACTCCCACATCTGTTTCTCTGTGTAAAGGTCGTGGTTGATGAAGAGATTGTCGCTGAGGTGGAGGTGGAATTCGTTCTGCTTAAAGAAGGAGGCGAAAGAGCACATCTCTACGAGAAAGTCCGGGGGATAATAGTGTCGTCCTAGATCGAGCTGGGATAGCTTAGAACGGTTTCAAAAGTCTGCATGAGATGCACCTCGGGTACTCACCATGATACCCCTTTGCCCCCATCCCGGTGCATCAGTGGTAGATCCAAAAGGTAGCCGACCTCTGAGAGCCAGAGCTTGCAGGATGGTTCGAGTACCCCACCATGCTCCCAAAGGGCTGGCTCCTATGAGAGAGATGCCGTTTTTATCAACCTTGAGAGTATATCCTTCCGATGTGTGGCGCTTGGCGGCGTCCAGGTACAGGCCCTTTTCGTCGATTGTGATAAAGATGGAGTTCTTCTCAGCTTTTCTTCCTTGTATGAGGCGTGGCCTAGAGTTCAGAAGCGAGGCAAGGTCGTCCTGAAAGGTTTGGGCGAATCGTTTCAGCGTGGGTGGAATCAACGTCTGCCCCGTTTTATCCACTGAAGAAGCGTATCGAGAATCGACTATAATGGTTTTTAGGTCATTGCCGGAGTAGCTACCATCCCCGTGGCTCTGGAATGGCACGGAAGGGACTGTCAGTAGTCGGGTACCCTCTGAGCAAATAATTAAAAGTTGAGTCAACAGCGAAGAATGAGCATGCCTCACCTGAGGTACAACAGAAGAACGTGACAACCCCCGCAGCCAGTGATTGGAGTCGCATTGTCCAGTGGTGGTCGGAGATTCAACAATAAGGAAAGCTTCACACTGCAAGGTGTGCCCTTCAATCATGACAATAAATCCACCCAAAGACCAAAGTGTTTATATGCCTGGCTCTAAGCCCTGCCCCCGCGGAATGCAATAAGTCAATTGTTGAACTACGTCAACGGTGCAACGTTGCCATATGAACGGAACATCCGGTTGTTATCATGATCTAGCATGGGGTTGTTATCTCCGGATAAAGGCATGCCGATTGAAGCGGTGTCACATCCTAGTTAGCGCACAAGCTATCCATGCAGGTTCTCAAGACCTGAGAAGAACGTTTCGCCAATTTGCGGGGGAATACTACGTGGCACCCGATGCAGAGAACACGCGCCGACGTCGCTCCTCAGCCAGTTTTTACATTCACTCAGGTACGAGAATTTCAGGATCTTGGGGGTTCTGTGACTGTTCAAGGATATTCAACATGTCTTCAGGACTACGCCTGTCTATCATCCCAACGTACGTGGCCTGTGAAGCAATGCAGGATCCTCTGGGGGATCATGGAGAAACCAGGCCAACTTCGGGCACAATCTCATCAGCCGAAATTTGCTGCCCCAGCCCCTTATAGATCCAGCGTGTGATAAGGACATCCCCCCCTTCGGGGCATTTTTGACCGGATCCTGCCCCATTGCATGTAGCAAAAGCTCCGATGAAGGATCCGAGGAAAAACCCTTTGCCTCCGCGACCACTCACGGCGCCTGCCGAGACGGTTCCAATCACCATACGTCGCTGCGGCGCCTTTACCGGCATAGCAGCGAAAGTGTAGGCTGAGGCATTCAACGCTCGGATCTCTAGCCTGATGGTACCCTTTTCCCAACCTTGTGGTACCTGGTAAATCTGCGTAGAGACCTTGGTGGAGGGGCTCTCCCCGGCGAGTCGAAAGACGAGCTGGGAGCGAGCACCGTGCCTTGACTTACTTTCCATGCGAACAATCCCGAGGTTGATGTGCTCGAGTTGGGATCGAAAGACGGTAATGCCAGCCTCCTGGCCGTCTACTTGAGGGCGGAATTCGAGGTCGAGTGAAAAGGCAAATAGTGTATGTGCTTGTCTACGACCAATGAGACTCAGGCCTCGTTGTCCAGTCAGCTCTGGCTCAGTTAATCCAGAATCCCCCGTCAGATTGGCTCTGCTTGGCTTGATCATCAGGCCTTTTCTAGTTACTGACAAGGCGTTCGGCGGTGGCACACGGTGGTGTATGAAGTGCGGCGGCATTGTCGTGGCCTTTGTAAAGTCATAACCATCATCGCCGGCAGCAGTTGGTCCGTTGCCCAGAGCTGGCAAATAGACTCCAGGGAGTCGATCTCCAGACATTCGACCACGGATGGGTTGCAGCTGAGGCCATCCTCCTCTCTTCCACGTAACGTTGAAGAGAGCGGTCTCGCGTCCCATAGGCATCAGTTCATAGGAGGGCCCTGTACGAATTGCCAGACAGACTCCCCACCAATCCCCGTTGGGGGTTTGAAATAAGTCGGCGTGACCGACGCTTTGGAAGTATTCATTTGTGTCGCGGTTGGTTAGGACGGGGTTGTTTTTGTATGCTGTATAGGGGCCCTTGATGGATCTCGCTCTAGCCATGGATACGGCATGCCCTTGGCTGGTTCCACCCTCGGCAATCAGGAGATAATACCATCCGTCCTTCTTGTAAATGTGAGGGCCTTCGGGCCACTCGTTGGCAGTTCCGTTCCAGATGTTGAGTGGCTCTCCCAGTTTGCCTGACTTGAGATCCACCTCTTGCAGCGTGATGCCAGCCGTAGCTACGTATGTTTTTCCATCATCGTCCCAGAAAAGGTCAGGATCGATTTCCTTGAGATTCAAGATAGTAGGGTCACTCCATTGGGCGCTGTCGAAGGGATCGGTTGTTCGGAACAGAACCCCCATAGGCTCATCTGATAGCCCCACGTATGCGCAAATGACGTAGTAAATGCCGTTGTGATATCGTATAGTTGGCGCGTACATGCCATCTGCTTGACCGGTTGTGTTCCAGCTGATACCGGGGAGTTGAGACTCTCGGTTCCAAACATGGCTGATGAGATTCCAGTCAACCAAGTCGCGTGAGGCATATACCGGGAGCCCAGGAAAAGCCAAAAAGGTTGAGGTTACACAGAAAAAGATTCCCTGATTTTGTATGCATGATGGATCAGAGTGCCACCCAGGGAGTACTGGGTTGACGTATTGTGGTGAGGAAAGGCACAGGCCGGTCGAGTAGGACCTAACAAACGCCTGAACGTCTGCAAGTAGGATCAGGAAAAGATAGAGGAGGTTCATATTGATAGTCAGAGTACTGTGTCAATTGTAGCTGATCTATTTAGTGATTATGAGACTAAAGGGGTGAGATCCAAGTAAATATACTAAAGCCAAGGTAGATAACCGGATGAAATAACGTAGTCACTCGGTATTAAGCTCCCATTAACTCAGCGGCACGAGACGAGTGGATTCAGGTCGACCAAACAAGCAAAGCACCACGTTCCTTATCTGGTTGCATCCATCTAGTATATAGGGATGGAGTCGTTGGGAAGCAGGAAGAGTTACAGAGGGTGGCGTTGAATTGTCGTATTTGGTACGGAAAATGGCCATACCTTACTTGATTCGGTATGGTTTTGCGGGGTAGGTTCTGGCATTAGGCTACTGCTAAATGCTGGATAACGAATAGTTGTGAGCCGGCCCAATTGTCTCCTGGCTCATTGCATGATCCATCCATCCGTCTGCATCTGGGGTGAACGACCGCCAAGGAGCTCGGCTTCCGCGGAAGACCTCCATGCGCTTACCGATCCTTTTTTCAGCGCTAGATACCGACGTCGACTGATGCAACGTTGTCTTAGCACTTGGGTACTCTCGTGGGGATCCCAATATATCCGTTCCCCGCGGGGGCGGCACAAGGACGATGCTACTTCTTGGCATTTTGAGTACCTATTGACCTGAGGTTAACTCTCTCGAATTCATTAGCCTCGGCCTTGTCCGGTTGTGTGAAAAGCAACATGCAAGTTGTTGTGATCATAGCAACGTAACGTTTCCTGTCACTCATCCAATTTGCCCGCAGAGGCACCACATCCTTATCCAAACCTCGGTTCGTGTGAATGCGACGCTGTGGCGGGTACGGGGGGTGTCCCGGGTTGTTATCAATCCGCCAGGAAATCTGAACGCGAAGATAAATACTCGAACGGATACATCTAGGAAACCCCCTCAAAGCGGTAATAGTCACACAATTTCGGTTCGACACAATGCCTCCCTTCTCCCCCATTTTCCGTCACTTAATCACCTTCTACTTGTTGGTAGCTGGCTTTTCCAAGTTTACGTCGAGCACATTCATCAGGCAAGACGGGAGCACTCAACTTCAGGATCTCGTAACATGGGATGAATACTCGATCATGGTCCGTGGAGAGCGGGTCATGTTCTACTCAGGAGAGATGCACCCTTTCCGGCTGCCCTCGCCTGGAGCCTGGCTTGATGTCTTCCAGAAGATCAAGGCGAGTGGTTTCACGGGCGTTTCGTTCTACCTGATGTGGGGTTTGCTGGAAGGACAGCCCGGTATCATCCGGACAGATGGCATCTTTGCACTGGATGAGTTCTTCAAGGCGGCATCCGAAGCAGGAATCTATCTTCTGGCCCGACCAGGTCCCTATATCAATGCTGAGGTATCTGGTGGCGGCTTCCCAGGATGGATTCAGCGCATCAAGGGCGACATACGGTCAAGCAATTCGGAATTCCTCGACGCCACAAGAGCATACTTATCTCACATGGGCCGCATCATTGCTGATGCCCAGATCACGAACGGAGGGCCTGTCATACTTGTCCAACCAGAGAACGAATACTCGGTGTGTGCAACTTATACTTCTGGGGATGTTAACGGTTGCCTCGAAAAGGATTACATGGCATTCGTCGAGTCACAGCTTCGTAATGCAGGCATCACAGTTCCATTTATCAGCAACGATGCTGTTCCATTGGGGAACTGGGCTCCCGGCTCCGGACAAGGAGCGGTGGATATTTACGGCACAGACTTCTATCCCTTCTCTTGGGGTGTTGGATGTAAGTCATACTCTTGGTGGTCACTAGTTGGAACTAACACCTTCAAGGTAGCAATCCTTCGAACTGGACTAGAGGTTACTGGCTCTTGGACCAGTTCAACGTCTCAGTCCATAATAAATTCAGTCCTAGCACTCCATTCTCAATGGTCGAGTATCAAGGCGGAGCTGCAGACTTTTGGTATTACCTATTCTCCTTGCCTAATTGGACAGCGAACTGACACAAGTCCTTAGGGGCGGTGTCGGCATCGACTCGTGTGTGACTTTGGTCAATCATGAATTTGCGCGAGTTTTCAATAAGCTTCTATATGGCTTAAGGGCGGCATTGGTCAACTTTTATATGGTTGGTTCCTCTGCTTCAACCTTCTCGATCATGGTATTAATCACGCGTCTGAGTAGATTTACGGAGGAACTAACTGGGGTAACTTGGGCCACGCAAAGGGCTACACTTCCTACGACGTGGGCGCAGCAATCTCAGAGAACCGCGCCGTGGACCGCGAAAGGTACAGCGAACTCAAGCTTCAGGGCTACTTTCTACAGTCGTCCCCTTCTTATCTCACGTCGTCTCCTGATAGCGGCACTTTCGGGCACTTTACCGACACACGTGCTGTCGTGGTAACCCAGCTGAAAGCCAAGAAAGGAGGCTACTATATCACCCGGCAGGCCAACCATGAATCACTAGCCTCGGTACAGTATTCCCTCACTATCCCAACGAGCAAAGGCCGATTCACTGTCCCGCAGCTTGGGGGGACCTTATCCCTGAACGGCCGGGACTCCAAGATTCACGTGGCTGATTACCCCGTTGGAAACATCAATCTTGTTTATTCTACTGCGGAAATTCTCACATGGAGAAGATTCAAATCCAAGACCGTGCTTGTCATCTACGGAGGGGAGGGAGAGACGCACGAGTTTGCCCTTCCACGGAGTTTGGGATGTCCGACCACACCTGAAGGGCATCACTACAAATGCCGCCTGACTGGCTCACTTGCGATTGTGAACTGGGCTGTCCAAGCTCAAAGACAAACCTTGACCTTCGGTCCTGGCCTTGAAGTTCACCTACTCTGGCGAAATGAGGCCTACAACTACTGGGTCCTTGATCTTCCTGCACCACGCCCCGTGAACAACTACACCTCGGCCTCGAGGCTCGAGGCTACCGACATGAGCGTCATCGTCAAAGCCGGATATCTTGTTCGAAACGCGAGAATATCGGGTACGTCTCTGTACCTCTCCGGAGATGTCAACAGAACGACAGAAGTGGAGGTCATCGCAGCTCCAGTGGTCCCCGACCGACTGTATTTCAATGGGAAAAGAGTCACTACCAAGTCTGCCAAGTCGCTGGTGAAAGGAACCGTACAGTACCATGCGCCAAACATGCTACTGCCGGATCTCTCCTCCTTGTCTTGGCGATATGTCGATTCACTGCCCGAGATACAAGCGGGATACGACGATTCGAGATGGGTTTCATGCTCCAACAAGAATACCAACAACACCCGAGCGTTGGCAACGCCAACATCACTCTACGCTAGTGATTACGGGTTCCATTGTGGCTCCCTGTTATATCGAGGGCACTTCACGGCGTCCGGCAGCGAGTCGTCGCTTTTCATCTCTACACAAGGAGGTGACGGATTCGGACATTCCGTCTGGTTGAACTCTACCTTTATTGGATCATGGGCAGGGCAGCAGGGAGTGGCCAATCGGAACCAAACCCTACGCCTCCCTCACAAGCTGAAGGCGAATGCCCCCTACGTGATTACGGTTCTGATAGATCACATGGGCCTACACGACAATTGGATTGCCGATGCACAGGAAATGAAGGAACCACGTGGTATACTTGATTATGAGCTTGCTGGACACCCTCGCCAGTCTGATATCTCATGGAAGCTTACTGGAAACGTTGGCGGGGAATCCTACATGGACCACACTCGGGGACCCTTGAACGAGGGTAGTCTCTACGTTGAAAGGAAGGGGTTTCACTTACCAGGGGCACCCATCAGCCAATGGAGGAGACGTGGCTCCATTGGCCTAACACGAGCCAGCGTTGGACTGTTTGCGACCACATTTGAGCTCGATTTCCCTCAAGGATATGACATACCGATAAGCTTGAGCATCAGAAACTCTACTGAAGCCGGAAGCCCAACCGTCGCCAACTTTCGAGTTCAGATATTTGTGAACGGATGGCAGCTTGGTAAATACGGTAAGGAAATCCAATCCCCGTCACTCACCACAGGATTCAGACGTGCTCATCTTCATCACAGTGAGCAACTTGGGGCCCCAGAGTCGATTCGTACTACCTGAAGGCATATTGAATCATCATGGCACCAACTACTTGGCTCTGACACTCTGGTGTCTCGATGAGTCCGGAGCCAAGGTTGACGGATTGTCTCTCGAGGCCGACGCCATCGTTCAAAGTGGAAAGAGGTCCACGCCGTTAGTCGAGGCAAATCGCTATATTGAGAGACAAAATTCCTACTGATAATCGTCGGTGGTGGGGTAAGAGTACATTGCCAGCTGCTCAGTGAAGCACCTCAGGGTTTTTGGCTCATTTTGTAACCTGGTTTCAACAGAGTGAAGCGCTTGTTTCAACATTTCATTCCATTGCAAAACGACGACGGACAGCATTCATCCTTGTGGGGGTTTATATCCGGTCGACCACCACTCTCATCAGGGGGCAGATTGATGCCCATAACATGGGCAGATTGAAAGTTTGTAGAAGGAGACCAACCCTCGTCACTCGCTTAGATAAAATCAAGTAGCTTAATTCCTATCATCTCTTCCACTGCCCTCAAGTCTAAAGTAGAGACCGAGGTTACTGGCCCGACATCTAGGCAGCTTGTACTTGTCCAATTCCACTTGTGTCATCCGCAAGTTTGCTTTGTGAAGGGAATTCATGCCAAGCACTAACAATCCCCCTCAAGCGTGAGGGTCCTCGTCAACTGCATCCTTCCTAGCATCGTCCCTACTGAAATGACCACCACCGACAACGCCAGCAACTAGAGCTCAATGAAAAAGTTTTTCGTCAAGGCGGCCATTAAGCCGCCGTCTTCAGGGCCCCTAACATTTATAGCTTGCATCGGCTAGTAATTAATAATTAATTTTATATAGGAAATTTTCTAGCGCTTATATAATATAAATATGCCGATGATTAAAATAAGCGCTAGCTAATAATTAATAAAGTAGCCCTAGTAATAATTAGAATAAGCTAAAAATAAGTAAAAATATAGAATAAATATCTATTGTTATGACCCTCGCGGCTACGTCACGTAGTCCCCACAAACCCCGAGTCTTAAATCACTAATCACAATAGGACCGACACACTAAGGACCGATATTGTTCCTAGACCGCGTCGGTCTTAGAATAATATCGCGCCTTATTACGGTCGGCTTTATATAAGGAAGCCTAAGTATATAGAATACGCTTATTATACTCTCTTATATACTAGCTACCTTAGCTATTAATATAACTTAGTTATACTTAATATTATTAAGTATATTACTAGATATGACTTATACCTTATTTAAGATAACGCTAATAATCCCTTGCTAATATAAACCTAGTATAACTAGTTTATCCCTTAGATCTAACTATACCGTTATATCTATAAATTAATTAATATTAATATTAATATATAAATCTATAGGTTTTATACTTTAGTAATATATTTATTTCTAGATTATTTTCTTTAATTATTATTAGGTATTAGTAATATATAGAGGGTGCGGGTTAAGGCAGCATTAGTTAAGTCTTAGTTAAATCTAAACGTTAGCTAAATAGTAAGATAAAATTTCGCAATAAATTAACTATACTAATATATAAGATAAAAAGTATACTAATTAATAGCGATAAGTATATTTAATTTAATTTAGCTATATATAAGAATTTACATATAAGATAGTATAATTTACTCTTAATTAAAAAGAGAATTTAAGGTTAATTTTTATATCTAGTAGTTATAACCCTTAATAAGTAGCTTTAGTAATAAATAAATAAAAGAAATCTTAAAATAAAGATTACCTTATTAAGTCTATTAAATAACTAATTAGATATATTTTAAATTAAAAAGAACCCTATTATTTTTCTATAGATAAATAGGAATTATTATAACTTATAATACCTTAGATTAAGAGAATAAAATATTATTAATACTTAATAATAGATTTTAAAGAAAGAGAATTATAGCTAAGTTAATATAATAATATAAGAGAAGGTTTTAATATTAAAAGAATATATTAAAGACTTTTATAATATTATATTTATTAATTATTATAAAGAAAAAAAGACTTTATAAACCTAGCCTAAGCTAAATAATATTATCTCTTAATAGCTTTTAATTATTTATTCTTTTTCTATCTTTAAGTCTCTCTTAATCTTTATTTACCTTAAAGTAGTTATTTAAAAACCTTTTTTATTATTATAGAGAGTTAACTTTTTAACTTAAGCCTTATTATATTTTTACTTATTTACTTACTTTTCTTAATATAACATACCCCCTTATTATTATTATTACTACTATAATTAAACCTTTACCTTAAAATTAATTACTTAGCTTAATTATAATATAACTTAGTTAATTTTATTATTACGATATTATACTCTTTTTTATATACTCTAATTAAAGATAAGAAAATATTAGCGCTTTTAACCTAGGATATTTTATTATTACCTAAATAATCCTTAAGTTTATCTTAGGAAATAATACTAAGAAATAAAAACTAATAATAAGCTATAGTGTATTAAGGATAAAATAAGAAGGGGGGATAATAAATAAGTAAATATAAATAAATAAATAAAGAACTAAATAAAGGAAAATTAATAAAGATAATAATATATAATAACTTATTATTATAATTATTTAAAATAGGCTATTAAGTATTATTTATATTAAAAAAAGAAAAATAATAAAGAAAATAATAAGAGGCGCTCCGGGCGAAATAGGTATAATAATATACTTAAGAATATACTCTTAATCTATACTTATGCCTAATTAATAACTCTATATAAATTATATTAATCTTATAGATTACTAATATTATAGGTATATCTAATCTAATTTTACCTATAGTTTATTAGCTAATATTTTAATATAAAGGTCTATATAGCTAAATTAGCGTAATATAAATAAAAATAATATTCTCTTAGACCTATTAGTATAAAAAAGACCTAAATCTCCTAAGTCTATTATTATTATTAAGGTATTAAATTTATTAATATAATTAAATATATAATATATAACGTATATAATAAGCATATGCACCAGACAAGGGTACGCACCACTTGGATTTTATACTATAAATTTAAGTTTTAAAAAGATTCTTAAAAATTCAAATTTAGCTTTAAATTAATAAAAACTTATAATTATATTAATTATATAGAGATATTTAATATATAAACTTCTAAAGCTTTATATGTTTTTACTTTTTAAGTTATTAAGAAAAAGTCTATTAACACTGTGTACCTTACTATATCTAGCTTAATAATTTAATTAAAAATATATTAAAATATAAATTAATATAAATTAAGTATACTAAACTTAATTATTATAACCTTTTAAGTCTATAAACTCTAGAGCTAGATTTTAGTTATCTAGGGTAGGTTATTTTTTAGCTGCACAGTATAGTGGTGCATATACTTGTTTAGTGCACATGCTTATCATATACGTTATAATAAGTAAGTTAGCTATATAAGTAAGTTAGCTACTTTTCTTAACCTATAAGATTAAAATCGCTATAAAAATACTATAAATTATTTAATTAATTAAAATTACTTATTATACTCTTCCTTAGATATCTTAATTATTACTTAATAGGTCTTTATATTATAGCCGGGCTTACCGTAGATATTATAACGCTAAATACTTAGTCGCGCTGACCTCCCTTAATTACTACTCCGCGATGATTTAGCTATTACCTATACATCAGTATTTATTTAATTAATTACCTACCTTCTTTCTTCTATTATTATAACCCCTCTCTTCTATAATTAAGTCTATTTTGCCCTCTAGCGCTAGCTTAGTATCTTATTTGCTTATTAAAGGTCTTAGATCTCTGCCCTTATAAGAGCTATCTTATATATAATTGCCTTTATTCCTATTATAAGAGACTTTAAGACTTTAAGAATTAATTCTAGAGAGCTATTATAATACTTTTTAATCTATCTTTTAAGGTATTTAGACTAAGATTAGGCCTTAAATATAATCTTTAAGGTCTTTAATACCTAAGAGGTTAATTAATTAAATATTTCTTTAATTAGTATTAATATCTATAGCTATATATTAAGCTTTAAGATTATATTTTCTAAATTAAAAGAAATAAGCCTAGCCTCTTTAAATAATACTTTAATATTTTTTTCTATTATAATAGCTTAAAATATAATATAAAAAGTAAAAAAGAACTTAATTTTTAAAATATATATAATAAAGTATTTAATTAAATATTTTATTTTTTAATTATAAGCTCTCTTAAGTATATTAAAATACCTAATATTAAGAGGCTAGAGTAGATAAGATAAATAAGGTAATATATAAAGCTAGATAATTTTCTTTTCTTTATAATATCTCTTAAATTTAATAGATTAATAATTTTTATAGCTATTAAGGATTAAAAAATAATAATAATTATTTAATCGCTTAGCTATATAT